CCGAATCCACAATTTCGAGGTTCCTAAAATAGCTAGCTTTTCCGAGCCCATCTTTGGCAAAATTGCCCGAGCCCATTTGAGTCGAAGTGTGCTCGTCATTTGCCCGTGAATTTACGATCTCGCCCCCCCACTCGACCATGGTGGCTCGATCGGCTAAGTGGGTAAATAGTTCTCTAGGCCAATAGCCCACTAATGTATTGTCTCCAAAGCCCAACCACCAATCTCCCAACCTTGGGTCCTATTTTTTTTTTTTTTTTTTTTTAAAGAGATAAATGCAATATTATTAATTAATTATTACATAATATTTTGTTAATAATATATTTTTAATTATTAAAATAGATAACGTAGTAAGGGCGAAAATTTCCGACCTTCCATATGATGAGAGTGATATCGTATTGGTTTCCGCCTACGGATGACACCGGTGAAATAGCTGCTCCGATTGCTATTCGGCTATTCGTCTGCACGAATCCCGAACATAGAAGGTTGTAGCATCCCGTCGCTTGATATGCATCGCTCTGCATTTTATTTAGAATAATATATATGGTCTATAATTGAGATTTTATTTCACAAAATAAAACAAAATACATGGTGACTTGACAAGTAGTAGCAATTTGCCAATTTCATATTGTTTTGTTACTTTAATTAATTAAATTATTTTAAATTATATATATATATATATATATATATATATATATATATATATATATATATATATATATATATATATATATATATATATAATACTAATACTAACCGTCCAATAAGTGAATAATCTTGGCCTGGTGTCACCATACAGCTCCGGACTAACCTGACTAGTACAATCATCAAATCTTCAGAAATTCAATTTAAATAATTATTAATAATTGTAGAAATTAAATAATTTAAAATAATTATTGTACAATTTAAGAATACCTGCCAGCCAGCTTCAATGCTATTGAGATCTGAGCCGTCGAACGAGCCGGACAGAACCCAGATCTGAGATAGGCTGAACTCGCTTAACTCGTCCACCGATGGGTCCCACACGTTAATTGTCGCTTTTGCCCCGTACACTTCATCCGACGATGTTGTGTACGCTATCGCGTGCTTTCGAATTTAGAAACTATTGTTATTATTATTATTATTATTATTATTATTATTATTATTATTATTATTATTATTATTATTATTATTATTATTATTATTTGTTTTTAGAAAATTTAGAAAAATGTTATTATTAAACAAATGTTAAAACTAGTTTTCATCGTCTAATTATTACTACTAATTAATTTCTTCTAAATGTTATTATATCATTATTGAAAAAGATGTTATTGTATCGTTATAAAATAAGCACATGAATATATTTTTTTTTAGAAATTTTGAATAATAATAAATAAAAATTGTTACGATTCATTGCGATTTGGATAAATTACACCTACACCCCTGAGGTATGCTAAAATAACTTTAAGGTCCCTATGGTATCGATAATTACAATCACCCCTGAAACATTGTTAGAAACTGCTGTAACGGGATAATACATTAGATACGTGATTCCGGTAAAATTCTAACGAACTATTAGTTTCAGGAAGTGGTGGAGACAACATCGAGTTAGAGGGTGACATGTATGGCTCCGCCAACATTTCTTAAATCACCCCTAGCTCTATGTTGTCTCGACCACTTCCTGAAACTAATAGTCCGTTACAATTTTATAAGTCTGGCTCGGGTTGCAGCTC